CATGTCTATCGGTCCCATGGACCTCATCCACCCGGTGTATGTCTCACCATTTGACGCCATTCCTCTACTCATTGGCAAAGACTTCCTTAACCGCTTTGAGCCACTGCTTGACTTTCAGAACTTGACGATCTGGGCACAGGTGAAACGACCCCTGCCTATCTCACTGTCTGAATACATCACAGAACGAGAAACCCGCCTCTGTGCTTTAGTTACCACCTCAAATGACGCACTGATCCCCAAAACCACTCCACTGGATTGGCCGATCAGCACCGACACTCATGACTGTGAGCTCAAGACTCCAGAGATGGGGCACATGCCTTCTTCCTTGCCTCCTGACCTCTCTAAGGAAGTGATTCACACTGAGCCTTCAAAGGCTACTGTCAGCCTTTCCTCTTTGCCGCTACCAGCGACTCTGTTCCCACAGGCAACATGACCAATGACAGACAGATGGGTGCACAAACTGTCACCGCCTTCCCTGTCAACACTTCACCAGAGCCATCCTCCATGACTTTACATAAAGGCATGAGAGGGGGTCAGACACCACATATATTCATCCTACAGCTGAACTTGACACCAAGTTTACAGCACTAGGCAAACAGGGTGCTGTTAAAGACACACCCCAGCACTCCAAGCGGATTTGCTCCCCACCCATCCCGCCCTTATGACTTGCGATGCCACCAGAGCCCAGGCAGCAGGCTTGTCTGTGACAGCCCCCCTGCGCCACAAATCTCAGTCCCTGACTCTCGGTGACTCTGACCTAATTCGGCTTCAAACTCTTGATCCCGCCATTAGCAAAATGCTCCTCTGCCTTTCTGACGCAGAGCCTGTCTCAACACTGAGCTTGCTTCCATCCCTGGCTTGAAACACCTTTACCTGGTGCGCTCTTCTTTGCGTGTCGTCACGGGCATTCTCTCGTATGTCTCAGACGCCCGCACTTCACCTGCGTTCGTGGTGCCTCAGAGCCACAGGGGGGTGATGCTCATGCACGCCCATGACTCACCTTACAAAAGCCACAAAGGGTTCAGTGCAACACACATGCACTAAAACAAGTAGCATATTGGCCAAACATGCAAAAAGATGTAGCAGACTACATCAAAACCTGTAAGGTTTGCTGCCAGTCTCAACCAGCAAAACCGTCACACAGAGCCTCCTTACAACGGAGAGGCATTTCTTTTCCCTTGTCAAAGACACAATTTGACAGGAGGGAACCCCAAACTGAACCAGCCAGAGGAAATAAAACTTCCTCAGGCCAAAATAATTTAGACAGCACACAAAGATGCAAAGTCTATAACGACCAAAATGCATCTCACAACAAGCTCCGAAGGGGGGACAGAGTGTGTCATCACATCTCTGCTCCACTAAGGAAACAGGACGGCCAGAGAACAGGAAGACTTGCACACAAGTTCTCTCCCCACTGGACCGATCCTTCTGTGGTCACAGACAAACATTCACCTGTTCTGGACCGAACCAAGCTTCACAAAAATCCCATGGGACTTGTCGGGAACGATAACGTCCTAATAAATTAATAATTAACAGAAATCCTCAATTAGGGACGATAGCTGCTAGTGGTTAAAAGGTCATTAGAGTTGCGTGCGTGCCTTGTAAAACAGAACTTGGAAGCCAGGTATCTTTTACTTCGGTCCGCCACCCACTATTCTGTGCTCCCTGTTGCAATTTAAACCTACCACTAAATTACCAGTGGAGGTCTTTAACCAATTAAATTAGAATTTCAAAAAAAATTTCCACCCACCGGTGGAGCTGCTCTCTCCTGACCACTTAGTCACAAGTGGGGTTACTGTCTAAATTTATTGCTCCTTAACCAATTAAGAATACCTGCTCCAGAGCAACATCTTGCAGCAACTGCAGAAATAGAATACCACTCAGAACAGTTCCTCTCAGACTAAAAGCCGCTTCTTTTATAAAATTTGTTTTGAAAGGGCTAAGACCCTCAGACTAGACTGTTAGCCTAAACCAGCTAAACAACCTTCAAGCTCACTGCAGGTTATGGTTCTGAATATCAATGAATTTCTGAGAAAAATAATGTTGGTCATGCTCACACACGACTTGTCATTTGTTAAGATATTTGTTTTGCTTCCCAAATTAATTTTCCGCTTTACTTTGTTTCAGGTGATTAAGTAACACAGCAGGCACCTGCTACTTTCAGACTAGCTAATTGGGGTTACCCTAAGTGACTAGCAGAATTAGTAGCCTTAGAAGGACATCAACCTGATCACAGATGTTGTGTTTTGCCACCTGCTCTGCTCTGCTTGACTCCTTCCACCTCACCAGCATCATCAGTACCTGACCAGCAGCTCGCCAGCATCATCAGTACCTGACCAGCAGCTGACCAACACATCATCAGCTCCTGACAAAGTCGACCTGCACCTGACAAACCACACATGTTGTTTCTCATTGCGTCCAAAACGTTACCTATCGGAGGGAACATTTTGGCCGAAGGGGGGACTGTAGTGAACAACGGTGTGGATTTGTGCATTTTATATTGAATGAATGTGGAGCTACCCTAAATTCCTTTCTCCTCCCCAGAGAAGATGGGGAGGGGTCAAAGTTGCTTTCTCTAAGTGCTATCCCGACCATAAAACTGGCACCATTTTGATTCCGAAGCTGATAACGCGGGGCCTGACTGTTAAACTGACAAAGGGACACGAGCCAGCCATTGGCATCTCCCTGAACAGCCTATCAAAACTGGCCCCACCACACACGTTTCCGTGGAAACTGACCTTATTCTTTGTTTATTACCACATCAAAAGTATACTCCTTGTCTCACCTAAGTGTGACATGTTCCAGACACTGAACTTTGGATGACAAAGGACTGCATTCTCCAAAAGACTCAAAGCATCTAATTAAATTTAATTAAATCTTTAGTTACCTGAATATGTTGCCTCTATTTGAGTAGTTATGTTAACTGTGTTGCTATCTGTTGTTGATATTAGTGCTGAAAAGAAGTTACTTGTGCAATGTTTTCATTTTCAGCAAGACACTCCTTCATCCGATGTAATCAATGCTTGTTCATAATACTTTCTTACAAAATCCCTTTAGAAATGATGACAAAGAAATGTTTTACTACACTCTTAATCGCCAGCTTGAATTTAAGGATGAATCAACAATATTCCCCGGTTCCTAAGGAGAGACGATCTTTGATTTAATCCAAGCTTTCCTCATGTAACCTGAGCTCCCCCAAGTGGACGAAATAAGTATTACATGCCCTCGTCAGAAATGCGGTTAAATGTGTAAAAATACTGACCAATAATGTGACAATTTACCAAATGCTTAGAACAGTACAACCGTTCAACCATTGAGGTTCGATTGTGGAAAATATTTGATTATAATACGTGCAAATAGATTTCTTTTCTTTAGACATTAAGTTTGGAAAGGCAGTTCCTGGGGAAACCTGAGACGCCCCCTGGGGAACCACGCCCCAGGCAACAAAAGAGCGACACGCGACCTGCTCGCCAGCCTCTAGACTCTTCACTCTTAGTCTCTGCCCTCTGGATGCTTCGGCACGCGCGTAGCGTGCCTCGCCAGGCAACACGCCCAGACTCGGCCAGCGAAACAAACAGGCCTTTGTTCGCTGAAGCTACACACCTGAAGTGCCGAGACATCGATCTGCCTTCAGTTTGTTTTATTTTCTTTATTTCTTTTGTTTGTTAAAGTTATGAGTCCGTTAAGTTACACTGGACTAATTCAGGAACGACCAAGTTCCATTTTAAGCCTTTTTCGTCGAGCCAACTTCACCGAGGTCAGACCAAGCCACGTGGTCTCGCCAGCTACAACCAAGGAAACCTGCAAACAGCCGAATTGCCAGACGGAGGAGGCATTTTCAATCAGACACGGAGAACCCCGGACAATCCCTAGCAAAAAGCCAGGATCGGCAGCTAGCGTGGGACCCGTGCAACAGGCCAAAAGCAGGCTGTCGACAAGCAGTAAGACTTAACACACGTCCTGTGATCAGATGTCCATTTTAACTCCTAAATATAGCATTAGTTTACTTTCAGTAGCTCTTCTATGCCGTATGAGTCGAATGCTTCCCACAATCGAACCTCCAGGCTCATTGTTCAGCAAATGTTTATGTTCCCTGTATCCAACCATCTTTTATCACCTTAGTTAGAGAATAAATTCACTGTAATATAATCAAGAGCTGTGTGTGTTGCCTATTTATAGTTCCTGCCAAGAGAATTTACCCTTTAGATATGAGACTGACTGACTGACTGATTTAAGAAAATTGAGCGATTATTAACTAACTGATCACTAGTAATAATTGTATAATTATTCAAAACTACCTAGAGGTCCGGAGACTCTAGGATTATAACAACTCCGGTGGTGCCCTTTACGAGGAAATTCTGATTTTATGAATAATAATTCATAATTGGGTATCAATTCTCATAAATTTATTAAAATGCATAACTAATAAATTTAGGTCCACTACAAAATCAAGCTTTACAGAGGCCAAATGGACACCTGGAGTTGTTTCTCCACTTCCTCCTGGGACTTTTATTGCAGACCAATAAGACTAACCTTTAAGGCCTGCTGACACAGACAGAAAGCAGCTCACAGACCAACCTGATAACAGTCGAGTACATCAAGATGAAGTTGCAGGAAAATCTCTCAGAGAGATCTTGCAGAGAAAAGCATCAACTCTCTGAATGAACATTCTCTAGTGGAGGAGATCCAACAGTCCCTGAGTTCAGGAAGTCTCTCCACAGATGAACTCTCCCCCTGCTCAGAGGTCAGCTCTGGTCTTCATCTAACTGTCATCAGAAAAAGATCTGGATGTATCTTATGTGAAGAAATACTCGGAGGACACTCTTCAGTTGCTGCTGGCAGTGGTGATGGAACTGCACATTTTGGAGTGGTCTTTTATTGTGGCCAGCCTAAGGCACGCCTGGGCAATACCCATGCTGTCTGATCAACATCTTGATATGCCTGTGAGGTGGATGGATTATCTCGGCAAAGGAGAAGAGCTCACTAACACAGATATTGACAGATTTGTGAACAATATTTGAGAGAAATAGGCCTTTTGTGTACTTTGAGAAAGTCTTATATCTTTGAGTTCAGCTCATGATGAATGGGGGCAAAAACAAAAGTGTTGCATTTATAATTTTGTTTCAGTGTATTTCACTGTTCCTTCAGTCAAAATGCAGGTTTAGTCTCTGTTGAGCCCCTGGAAAAGCCCTCATAGAGTAAAAAAGCTTTGTCCACAAGATTTTATTTTATTCAGCTCACAGATGAACTTCTTCAGATACAGAGAAGTTTCACTGCAACTTTCTAATTTTCATCTTGTTTGGAGTAGAACAAGCAAGGATTTTAGCTAGTGTAGGGACGAAATAATATATAACCAAAGTTGGTAGCCCCTTACCAGTTACCATCTAGATAAAGTTGATCTTCAGCTTCAATAAACAACTTTAAAGTGTTTAAATTTGATTAACTGATAAAAATACAGGTCCAGCAGTTCCCTGTGAGTTTAAGTGTAAGCTTAGATCATTGTTCTTTATGATTGCACTTTAGTCAAGATTAAATCTATATCAGAATGACATTTTAATTCTTGTTGAGTGTCTCTTCAGACTGAGCAGCTGTAACCTCCTCAGCTCCCAGTCCTCTAGTCTGAGAGACCTAGACCTGAGTAATAACCTGCAGGATTCAGGAATGAAGCTGCTGTCTGCTGTGCTGGAACTTCCACACTGGATACTGAACACTCTCAGGTATGGAGAGGAGGAAGACTGTGGGCCTGGATCTCTAAGCTGATAAACACTGACTCATCACACTGTTACAAAATAGTAGCACATAGACTTCAGACTAGAGCTGCTCATCAGCTGGAATCATCATACACAAATGTTCCAGGGCTGAGAGGAAACAACTTGTCAGTAGGTGAAAGATTGTTATGGAAAGACCAACAGAAACACAAGTTTATCTTTTCATCTTACCGTTTACACAGATCTATCTCATATTTAGATCAGGAAATGAGAACGGAAATAAATATAAACTAACTATTTATATGTTCATAAATAAACAGATCAACAGTTGTTTAATAATGGAAGATAATGAGTCATAGCCGTTGGCCAATAAAAATCTTTCCCCGAAATGAAAGGAATTATTATTTTGTTGTTTATTTCACATACAGACGATAGAGATAATGATCATTACATCAGAAGAACATATGCAGCAGATGTCATGTATACAGAGTGAGGAGCTGAAGCTTGTTTGTTGTATTTATAGAGAAAAACAAACTTCTGTGTATGAGAGCGATTTAAGTGCATATAAATGATGATGTCAAAGTCAAATAATACTGGATCACAATCCACTTTGTATTGTTCACTTTTACTTCCATATATCACAGTCCATTTACTTTTTAATTCAACTCTCCGGAGTTGTTATGTTCACCAACAACCACCAGGTGACATCTAAGAGCGAGTGTACAGTATAATGCTTCCTGCAGAATGTTGACTGAAAAGAGGAAGTACAGTCAGTGGTGGTCAGAGTAAAGAAAATCTTGGTAAGAAATAATTATTCAGTAATAACAAATTAATCATCACCAGTTAGGTATTGTAATACCTCAGATGCTGTTAAGATTTCCTGTAACCTTTCTCAGAAGAGTACCATTTGTTTTATTTGAAGTGCATTTGCATTCTAAGAGATTGTTTTGTCTCACAGGGATCTGCCCTTGAGCTGAGTTACTTACTCTATTACATGTATTTTTAGTAAATATCTCTAAGACAGCTGTTGATTGTTACTACTTTATTATAATATACAATTTCCAAAAATACTTGAGTAAAATTGAAAATAACCATTTCACAACCCTACTCAAGTAAAATATAATACTTAGGTCAATAAACCACTCAAAGTACAAGTTATTTTTAATACTGTTTAGTGTGTGCAGGTCAGAGATCTTCACAAGTCATTTTATGCAAGTCCAAGTGGAGTCTCTTTTTGGAATAATAAGTAATAAATCTCTCCCTGAGCATGAACAACATGTATGCCAGATACTTCAACTCTTGCTGGAAAATGAAGAAGCTGTATGTTAAACTGAAACCTAGAGAAACTGACCCTAGAGAAATTGCACCACTGGTTGGAGGGTACTGGCCATTTCTTCGTTGTGTGGATTGATCATAAGAATCTCATATATTCAATCTGCCAAACAGCTAAACTCATATCAGGCTAGGTGGGCTTTTCTTTTTGGGAGGTTTAATCTGTCTTTGACATATGGTCAAGGTTCCTGCAATGTCAAGTTAGCTGCCTTGTCCTGCTAGTATGTCTCTAAACAGACGTGGATCCAGGGGATAAAGTGGGTGTCAAATCAGAAAAAGACAGATAGATAGAAGGTTTGCACAGTGATTTCATTGTACCTTAGTATTTATGTTTTGATACACTAAATTGGGGTGTTTCGTATCTTACTTTTAAATACAGTACATTTTGTATCTTTGCCCATCCATGAGTGTAGAGAATAACAAACCTCTGTATGAGTGTGATGTAACGTTCATGTTTGATGCTGAAAGAGGATGTGCCGGTTTGACACCCCTCTTCCCTTTCAGGGTGAAGCCTAGTAGAGTCCGATGGATGAGACCAGGTCTGAGGAAGTGTAAGCATGTTTTTCATTTGATTCATGAAAGCATCACATATTCAACCATCTTCACACTGACATCGCTCATTCAAAGCTCTGATGTCATCACCAAATGTCAATCAGTGAACAGATGATGGATTAATAACTGCAGGTTTATTGTGTCTCGTTCTCTCCATTAGATTCCTGTGAACTCGCACTCGACACAAACACACAGAAAGATCAAACTGTCTGACAACAACAGGAAGGCGACACGTATGAGAGAGGATCAGTCACATCCTGATCATCCAGACAGGTTTGACTTCCAGTGTCCTCAGCTGCTGTGTAGAGATGGTCTGACTGGTCGCTGTTACTGGGAGGTCGAGTGGAGAGGAGGAGTTGAAATATCAGTTATTTACAGGGGAATTGGAAGGAGAGGCGACAATACAGCCTTTGTGTTTGGAGGGAATGATCAGTCCTGGAGTCTGAGCTGCTCTGATGATGTTGGTTACTCTGTCTGGCACAATGACAGAAGAACATCTTCCTCCTCTGACAGAGTAGCAGTGTATGTGGACTGTCCTGCTGGCACTCTGTCCTTCTACAGAGTCTCCACTGACACACTGATCCACCTATTCACTGAACCTCTTTATCCTGGATTGGGGTTCTGGTCATATGTTTCCTCACCGTCTCTGTGCTCTCTGTCAGAGGGAGAGTCTCTTCCTGCTAGAGAAACTTTCACTGCTGACCAGATGGTTCAATCTGTACTGGATCTCGCACAGCTGATGTTAGTTAGTACCAACCTGATGTAAAGTAGTATATGCATCAGTGTTAGTATAATAGAGATAGTGTCACATTCGTCTGACGTCAAACAGCTAAAGACTCAATCTGCAGCTTTTCACTTCGTGGAAAAGAAACCTCTGTTCATTTGTTTTCTGCTTTCCAGTTTTGGGTTGTTGAGTTGTGTCCTGTTTTCTTTTGAAATTGTTGGAAATCATGGTGCCTTGAACACTCCGTTGTGTACAAAACGCACTGCATTTTCTCCAAATGGGAGAAAAAATACCTCAGAGCCCATTGGGGAACTTTGCACAACGTTTCAAGTAAACATGCAACTGATATTGAAAATAATGTGTGGTCAGATATTATAACAAATGTGGGGAAAAACATCAGACGCTTGAAGGAAATGTATTCAATATTAAATATAGTCTGACAACAATCGATGCTGGAAGTGGAACCATGTGAATCATCATCTGCTCATGTTGTTGAGTGTCTCTGCCTATTAACTGATTTGTTCTGTTGTGTTCTATATTTCTGTCTGTACCTGTTTTTTGGATTTGTTTATTCCCCAGACTGTCCACCTCATCTGTGGTGTAAGTTGCAATCACTTGGTTTAAATAAACACGGAGAACTGTACCTGCTCCGCCTGAGTGTTCTGCATTTGGGTACAAATCCCGTAGTCCTGTGTGTCTGCACTTGGCATTAACGTGACACACAGCTGCCTTCTACTGCAAAACTGGAAGAACCTTAGATTGACAGTATTTGCTCTATAAAGTGCTTTTTGCTTTCAGTTTTTAGCTTTCAGGAGTCAATCTCAGAATGATGGTGTTGAAAGGACAGCATTGCTTTTCATCACTTTCCAGGAAACTGAACAAACATTTCCTCTTGTCCTCAGGTGAAGATGCTAACGATGGTCATTCAGACTTGGCCATGGGTGGCTCTAACGACCATGACGACTGTCATTACCACAGCCAGGAGCACTAACAAACCAGCGATATCAACAATCCTAGCTAACGATCCCACAGGTTAAATAGAGTTTCCCTACCAGTCAGTCAAAACTGAAGAAGTCTCTTGGAGGAGGGACGAAACATCTTCTAATATCTTCAACCAAGTCCAGTTGCCCTTAACCTCAACCTTCGCTGGATAACTATGACCTGGATGACTGAGAACCTTCACAAACCTCTGATTATCTCGTTACCATGGCACCTTTCAGTGTGTTGAATATATTAATCAGCAAGTGACCATTGTGTCCTCAGAGTTGATGTTTTAGAAGCAGGAAAAATGGGCCAAGCGTAAGGATTTGAGTGACTTTGACCATGGTCAAACTGTGATGGCTAGAAGACTTCGTCAGAGCATCTCCAAAACAAAAGTGTTCCATGAAGAAAAACCTATGAACTGGCAACGTCTTCATGCATGTGGGGAGCGAAGACTGGCCCGTGTGGTCCAATCCAACAGATGTACATCCTTTAACATCACGTGGCTGGCCGGTTGTGTGTGCGTCGCTTACCTGGGGAACATATGGCACCAGGATGCACTATGGGAAGAAGGCAAGCCGGCGGAGGCAGTGTAATGCTTTGGGCAATGTTCTGCTGGGAAATCTTGGATCGTCAATTTCATGGTTGTTACTTTGACATGTACCAACTACCTAAACATTGTAGACCACACCCTTTCATGGAAACAGTATTCTTTTATGGGGGGTGGAAATAACTGATTTTTAGATGCATCGCGATGTGCACTTGAATGATTATGAATCGATTCACAAATGTCAATCGATTATATAGAGTTTAATTGATAACGTAATGTTGATGAAATGAAAAGGCGGAACTTGGAAATGCGGAAGTGCAGCTCTGACCGGACCAGACGGACAGACTAAACTTTACACATAATCAATAAAATCAATGTGTAACTAACGTTAACGATTTTAACCTGCACTCTGTGCTGCACAGTAGCCACGTGACAGGTGGCAGTAGGTGACGGTGAAAGCAGCAGAACAGAGGAAAGATGAGCGATATGCTTCAGTCTGGTAGTAAATATACAGTGTAGTTCACAGCGTGTTTGTTAATTAAAATCATTTTAAGGATGAAGACCGGAATGGTATAAGGTGCTAAGGGTTAAGTTGGCTCCTCTGTTAGCCAGGGTCTACAATTGGGTACTTAAAAGAACAAGAAATGCCTCCTTCATGGCGAGAAGTAATTATATTCCTTTATTCCTAAGGTGGGAAAAAAACAAAAATGTGACAATTTGAGACCTATTAATGTTTTGAATGTAGACTATCAACTGTTCACATCTGTTATGGCAAGAAGGCTTTAAAAATGTTTACTAGATCTTATCCACCTTGATCAAGCTGGCTTTATTAAGCAGAGACAAACGCAGGATAATATTAGGAGAACATTATATTTAATTAAACATGCCACAGGTAGTTGGATAGAATCAGCCCTGATTAGCTTAGATGCTCAAAAAGCTTTTGATCCAGTTAGCTGGAATTTTTTATATAAAGTTCTGTCTAGATTTGGCTTTTGTAAAAATAATTCAAACATATAATAATCCAACAGCCAGATTTAAAGTAAATGGGAACCTTTCTGCTCCATTTTCAGGGCTGCAGGAAGGGGTGTGCTGTTTCTCCGCTCTTGTTAGCCAAAGACCAGAATATATACCAAATCCTTACGTAACCGATATGAAACCAAGGGCTACTAAAACCACGTGTTGTTTAGACGTGTAGTTCCATGTTGTCCTACCAGAGAGCACAATACACTAGAGTTATAAACAGACTGTATTAGGATTGCTACAGAGTGCTACGTGCAGTCCTCGCGTCCCTGGTAGATCTCTTCCTGAAACGTCCTGAAAACGTGTGTAAACTGTGAACAATTGCTTGTATGAAATGCAACATAATAATATGAAACTTTGATTATATCCACACATCTACACCGATAAGACTTTTGCCGGCCGAGTAGGCTAACTTCCGGTTTAGCGCTCCGTTAACGTAAATGGGGGTAAAATTGTAAATGTGCTGCTGGTTAGCCTTTTCAAATGTTACCGACCGAATGGATCACATTCTGATAGCGAAACGAGTCATTTCGCTCGGGTTATGAAGGTCAAATATATTGATTCAAATGTTCCTTCAAAGCACGGGGTACTTCCGGTCGCTCGGAGGCATTGCGAGGCTACCCAGCCGACCAGTGACAGAGCTTACGGTCCGCATCGACTTGACGTGTAGTTGCATTTTTGAGGAGGTGCACGTCAGGCGACGGCGTATCCTCTGCGTAGCCCCATAGCCTACGCCGTCACCTACGCCATCGATTTGACGCAAAAGTATAAATTACTCATGTTGTATGGTTCTAAATTTTATGTGTCGAATACAAAAGTTCTGGCCTTAAATTACGATCCCCCTATGAATAGGCAAGAAATGCCGGTTAAAGTGGGACGAAGTTTCTATTAAAGATTTAGGTGTATATTTACCAAAAGACCTGGCAAACTCATTCAGTACCAATTTGTTCAAATTAATTCTGTATTAAAGGCAGATGTGGGAAGGTGGAATGTTATTCCATTCCTCAGTTTATGTTTTAGAGTATGTTGGGACCAGGACAGTCTGGTAGAACAATGGTATGAATGTTGTGCTGACATTTGGATGATGTCTGTAGAAGGCTGACATTATGATGATCCACAATGACACAATGACAAAGTCCCTCTACTCATTTTAGGGAAAAGCTCATTGATTAGGACATAGTAATGTTGAGCTCCACATTTAAAACCTGAACACATCTGATTGGATTAGAAATGGATTTTTATCTCCATCATTTATTCTTTATTCAGATTGAGGGGCAGCAGTTTGTCAGAGATCAGCTGTTAAAGTATTGTAATCTTAGTTACTGTGCTCATTATAGATTTTGGTTTCTTAATTTGATATGAAACTCGGATATATGGTATTTCTGGACTTGCACAATTGAGTTTATTAGTACACACAGTAACTGTTTCCTTATCATTTGTTAATTCAGAGCAGAGGATTCCCACCTGCATGTTTCCAGGGTGAGACAGGGAAGTGCGAAAGAGGAGAGGTGTAAAACGTGCTACGACACGTGTGTGTGTGTGTACTGTCATACATCTTGGTGTCGATTAAAGCAGATTGTTGAAGAAGAACTTGTAGCTGCTTATTACCCATAGGCCAGAAGGACAGGAGAACGCTACCAATCCAGAAAGAACTGTTATAGTATAATAGTTTAAACTGAAGAAGCTTTGATTTTAAGAAATATTGTAGATGTCTTTTGTTCCCATTTCCCCAAAGTTCATCCTGACATATTTGGCATCTTTGGAAACTTGAGTGGAATCTTAAATCAGTTTCTGTGGGTTTTTCTTTGTGTTTGGCTGCACAACATGAATTTGTATAGCTGGAGCCACTGGTGGAGCTGCAGAGTTTAAGAGGTGAAGTCACTACGTCTTTATTGAATTAGCAGCATGTTGTCATTAAT